GTTGTCTGTCGAGAAGTGCGGGTAGCTCGTGGGTGCTTTCTTGTAGTACTGAATATGCTGTGGTGGCTGGCGCGGGACTACCTGATGTTTGGCTTCCTCTTTAGGATTTGTCTGGTCCTTGTCCTCCCATTTTATTGTCGTCTTCAAAATAAATGTAAACAACTGCACTTACTGACTTCTTATACCGTCTAGGAGGTCTTGGATCACTACAATTACAGTCGTACACTTGCAGAGGTTTCATAATGTCATGATTTGATGATTATTCTGTTCTTTTATCATTAGTAATTGTTTCTCGTTTCAAAAGCTCGTTCTGCACACATACAGCTTGTTAAACAATCTTTCAAGCTATTAGGTTATCTTTGATTTTAACCTTTCTCATGCATAAAAATAAGTTTGGCTTTATCGGCATTTGTGCCAGGCTTTGAAGTTTAAGCTTTCCTTTTGCAGCAAACCTTGTTGACAGCGGTCTTTCCAATCGTCTGATTGTGTTTTTATACTAGCCAGTCATATTTGAGACCTTTGAAGCCTTAGGTCGGGGTGTCATCGTTAAGGTCGCCTGCTCTACGAATTCTTTCCCTTACATACTTACGCATGCGTTGAAATGGGGATCTAGAAGTTTCTTTTCCAGTTCTGATACAATACTTGTAAATGTGTGTTGGGATTTGGTAACTGGCTGTCATTTCCTTTCTATCACTCATGCTAACTGTTGTAATCTGCATTTTAGAATACGAAGAAATGAACGATTACATGATTTTATAATTTCGCCCTCCTGAAATCTTTTTCGATACACAAATGACTCAAGGAAGGCGATGCTTCATCGTAGTTTCGGTGATTTCAGGTGCATCTTTCTTATAGATAATCTGCAGACTTGAAATATTTTTGTTGTGTTTTATGCACAAATTGGCTGGGTCCTTTTTCCCCAGTTTTGTTATTTTAATCTAGTTGTAGTTATCCACTACTGTCAACACAAGCTTCAGTGAACCTAAAAAACTTCAATCAGTTGTGCGGCAGCTTCAGTTGATTTGACTATTTGTTGTTAACCAGGTCGAAATTTTATCGACAAGCCAGGAGCCAGTGTGATTGCCGAGGCCAAGTTAGACCAGGAACTACTCTCCACAGATCCTGTCCCTCATTCTTCTACCCCACACTTTGAACAGGAACTTGCTTGGGAAGTCGATCGCACCGGCTTAAGACAATATCGACTTCAACGCACTTCCATAAAACTGCAAATTTTCACCGTCGATAACGATGCTTCCTCTTGTTCGAGGAGCCTCCTTGGCTACATTATTTTAGATTTGCGCTCAGCTACTGAACGCAAAACCTTTAAATGGTTTCAGTTGCTCAACTCGAAGCTGAGGCCTTGTTCAGAGATTTACTGTGGCCTTTATATCGATCCATGTAGTTCGGATAACCCTGAGACGTTTGGTAACCCGGATGAAATCCCTTTGGAGATGAAGCATTTTGTGGATACTTTTGAAAACCAATTGGTTGATTGCTTCGAAATTGATGGTTCGAGCGCCTCCAAAGAATGTTATCTCATCTCAGCAGTTCTGGTCTCAATCCCACAACTTTCCAAGCTACTACCTCTTGAAGTGTCACCTTCATCGATCTTCAAACTAGTTCTGCGTTGTATGAGTGGTAGTCCATTCGTTTGGGAGTTTAGAGAAGAAGATTGCACCAAATTAGCTACTGATCATTACAAATTTTTCATCAGGTTAGTATTTGTTCATCCACTCCTATGGTGTTTAGGTCGTCGAAGGATGCCCTTCGGGTCTGTCTCTCACGAACCAACATTATTGAAATAACACTTTTTGCTGATGAAAAGTTGATCGGTCATTGTCAAGGGAATTTGTCACTCATTGGCGACCGAATTACTTCGGCCACTCGGTACCCTCTTTCTGTGGATGTCACGTTTACCGTAAGTTTGCCGTTTTCACACCTAAAATAAAGCAATCACCTAACAACTTCGTGATATTTTTTAACAGTTGACTTCTTCTGAGGTTGGTAATGCTAAATCGTCAGTCATTTTGCGATTCACTGTAACTAACCATGACATACAGCTACTCGCTAAAGGATTGGATTCTCACCTTAGAGCAAGCCCCAAAAGGGTGAGTTAGGCAGTCACATACCTTTTACAGGTAATCGATTTCTCATTTGATAACTCATGACTCAACTTTCCCTTCTTCAGAACGATAGATGTTCGCCGGCTCAAGTACCTGATCTGGACACGGCACTAGGTCAAATGCAAATGAATCCAAGGTCGGCTTCTGAGACGTTGGTGTCACAACCACCACTCACTTCGCGAACAACAGCACCTCAAATTCCCAGCAATTACATGAATGAGAGTGTGCAACTGCGTCGGTTCTGCTACACCATAGAGTTGAAGACTATAAAGGCCTGTTGTGAACCGTCGAACTCAAAGGAGATCTATGTCTACGCCAAGTAAGTAAACTTAACTTTGGTGAAATTTATTAACTCTAGATACGTTTATCCTCTATTTGGAACAACAAATCCCATAATGACGCTTCCACCTGTACGGTTTTCTGTAAACGAAGAAAAACACTTTTCTCAGGGTTACTGCACTTTCGAGCTGGCTGCTGATTTTTCAGAGGTAGGTCAATAAACAGCATGTTTTATCTCAAAGACTGCTAGCACTGTGCAGGCAGGTTCTGGGTCAGAGTTTAAGCTACTAATGACAGTTCTAGCTGAATTTATGCAACTGATACGAGGTATGATGTGGTGCTTTTACGTTTTCAAACACTGTTTTGACGGATCTTGCGTTGGAACAAAGCTAAAAATACAATCGCCGACTGGCGGAGGCCCATATTGAAGGAAGATTGCAGATTGTTTAGTCCTTAGCTTATTGCTGAAACCATAGTTTCAGTAGTGAAATAAAAATTTGAGCGTCAGTGAGATGTATGTTTCTGAGTTTCCTTTCCTGTGTTTTATTCTTCTCTTACGGGTCTTTTGCCATATGTCCGGTCGTGGTCATCATTTCCAACTCTCAGGTGGATGAAAATCTCCATTCTCATGGACGGTCAGATTTTATCATTCTGTGGTTGTTAGAGTGTGAACTATCCATGATTCTGCTTTGGAAATTAAATTGTAAACCTGTCTATTCTACTGATCCATCGGTGTACACGTTGCTTAAAGTTGGTTTTTAATTTACCGACAGTCTGTGATGACACGTGTTCACTCACAAGACTCAGTTGTCAGCGCTTTTGGTCACATTTCATTGCCTTTTTTTGTACTGCTGCTTCAGTTCAAGTCGCGTCTTCTCAAGGAACCACTAAATGTAGAGATTCTGGGTCGATGTTCTGATGGTCCAAGTGGTCTTGAGTCTTCTCTTGGGTGGGCTGTCATTCCTCTTGGCGAAATCTTCCCAGAGCCCGTTATTGAGATGTCAAGTGAGTGCCACCCTGCGTTGCCCTTGTAGTGATCACGGGGCACATGGTAAGGTTCCCTTTGTTTAACTTTTCAGATAGTCAGCGCAGGTTGATGACAGGAGTAACAGACGTTAAGTTGAACGGGAAATTAATGGCCCAGATAAAATATTCTCTCGTTCTGGATGATTTTGGTGTGTATAACTCTTCAACGACTGCCGAAATCACTTCTCTCAACGTAAGCGAATTGGGAAGCTCCTATGCAACGGGTCGATCATGCTCAACCTTTTTTTTTTGCTCCTAAATTCAGCGAATTGAGGAACGGAATATTGATTTCGCGAAAGTGGTTCCAGAGGACACAGCAAAGCTACCTGCTGATATTCGTCAGACTTCTGAGTATCGAACAGCTCTTGAGCTGGAACTCTGGAAGGCCAAGGAAGAGGAGCGCTTTAAAAATAATTTGAAGCTTCGAGAGCAAAAAATGTTGACAGTGTTTGCAGAGGAATGGAAACGTCGGGAAGCTGAGAGGGAGGTGCTATGCAAGAAGAAGGTTGTTTGAAAAGTTTTTAGAATTTCAACCCATGATATTTACTGTACGTCGGGATGATATTTGGCTATGCTATTAAAAGTCCATAATTTACTAGTTCAGAGAGATGCCACATATATTCTACGGGGTTTTCTTGTCTACTTTGAGTCCTGATCCTTCCAGATGCAGGAATACCAAATGCTGGAGGATAAACTGAGATCAGTTCTGGAGACCTTGGTAGAACGAGAAAAGCAGTTGACTCTCAGGGAAACGACTCTCAATGCGGCGCAACGAGATCTTGAAAAAAATCTCGAGATTCGTGAGAAAGACCTGTTAAATGATGTTCAAAGAAAAATTCGCAATGCTGAACAGGCTATTACTAGCGAACAACAGCGAAATTTTCAGCTTAACAACGAAGTAAGACGTTCGACACTTTACAGCAATTTTTTCCTTCTCTAAAGTGCTTTTAATTAGGCTCTCGCTATAGATATTCTCTGGTACTATGGAACTGTTGCAGTTATTTTTGATAGTTATATTGTTTCCATTTGCACAAGTGGGGTTTTGCCTTGGTGCTCATACCTAATGTCGAACAATCTTGAGAACGGCATATCATCAAGGTTCTGTTATTCATGTTGCAGAAAGCAGGAATTGATTGCATGTGAATGTGTCGTGTGTCAACCTTTTTCTCTTCAGCCGGGTTACTTTTCAGTTTGATGTATATGGTGAAGCAGGAGAGTTGTATGGGAGGAGAGGATTGTTGTCTCATATGCATTTTGGTGAACAAAACACATATTTAGAGCACATGTTCAACTTCTCTGCCACACAAGCTCAGTGAAAGAAGAAATTTTATCCCCTGAGCCACCAACGAGTGAAATGAGCGCATAAGTTGATCCAACCAAAGGTATTATTTGAAAGGTTTGTAAAATAGTTGGTTAGTGCTGAATCTCCCGATAGCCTGGTCCACCACAACCCTACTTTTAGTACTGCGTTAGCTACATTATTATCTTAGGAAATGACCGAAGTGTATGGCAAGTTGCGACGGTCCTTAAGTTCATTACTACGAGTCAAGACGTAATCTATCCAACATAAAATTGGATTTGTTTCCGCCTAAACTCGATGGCCATCCTTTTTATGCAAGTATAATTCTCAAGTGGTGTTTCACTGACATTTAATCTATGCCTCAATTTCGACCATTTTCGTCCAATGTTTGTTATAATGGCGTGAAAGTACTCTATTAATAAAGGTGAGAAATAATGCTGCATGTTTAATGCAATTATGCAATCAAGTTTATTTTATCAACCCTACTTTTATGAAAGAGCATTTTCACAGATTGTGGAGTTGGTTACCTATTACACATTATGTTTTACTCTCGTAGCGGCCATTCTATCAGGGCCGTCAAGTATCAATACTCTTCACTAGGTTAAATCAGTCAAAGGCATTTTTATTCAAATATTTTAGTCTTGATTGATAGCTCTTTGTGTTAAATTGGTCATGCAATTATCAAACCATTTCCTCTCAATTTTTCGTCCAAGCCAAATCCGTTCATTAACTTTGAATCAAAAAGGTGAATCTCTGAACTCCAACTGCTATTGCCCCAAAGGTTCTGACTTTTTGTTCAAGGACTTTTGATGCGTCCAACGCACAAAACTGCTTTATGCTTAGTGTAAGGTAGTAAACATCATTTGACTGCACTGATCCTTGTATTTTTAGCTGGTCTCCTTACGAGAAAAGTGTAAAGGTCTTGAGGAACGACTGATTGAGCAGCATCTCAAAGCTTCCACTGCCACTGTCGGTGCGACTGCGGATGCAAAAGACGTGGTAGAGCAGGGAAAACGTGATGACGAGGAGATTCGTCGCCTGCAATTTGAGTTAGTCCGTCTGACTACAGAGTTGACAAACGCTCAGAGTCAAATTTCCACCATGGAGCGACGTTTGGACGGTGCGTTACGCGGGCGGATTCGGTATAAGGACCTATGGACTCGAGCGTTGCAAGAGGTGACTCGACTGAGGCAGGAAGCTGCCAGCGCCACTAAACAGGAGCTTCAGCGTCGTGAGGCTGAGGTGGAGGGTCTA